TGGGACTGGATGACCGTTGGGGTCTCTTACAACTCTATGATTCTAAGAACTCCCTCCCCCAAGTGTTGGAGCATTGCCTCAACAAATCAAGTAAGTTTTGCAAATTGTAGCAAGCTGTTCCTCTACTAGGGAAGCTGGAGATTTGCACATAGCCTCTTTCCTCATGGCTGGAGCTAAACCCAACAAAACTGGAGAATTTGCTCCTTTGCCTGCCACCTGGGGATAACTCACAAAAACTGGAGACTCCAAGAGAGACCCTGAGATCTGGCAAGCCTACCAAGACAACACAATTCTCCAACAATCTAGGCTTTCTTTCTGCTCCTGCAGGGTCGCATTTCCTTCGCTTCTGAGATTCAGCACTAGCCTCCGCATTCAGAAAGAGGCCCGCTTTGGCAGCCTTATTACCACTTGATGCAAAAGTGACCATTAAGGATGTTTGACGGAGGCCTCGCTCATCTGGAGCTGGGACAAAGCAAGGCTGCCCGGAGGCTGCCTAATGAAATCTGAAACCATCACACTCATGTGTCAGAGAGTGTAACATATTTTTTTCCCAAGCGCTCTAATAAACTTAATCATCCCAAATATTCCTCTGGTTCCTTCTAGATGGAGGGGGAAAAGCAAAGGGGGAGATGAAAGACAGGATCTGACATTTATCCTGCGTGAAGCCTCCTAATTACATTTCTTGTTCATCTTCCTGCCTCTCTTTCCTTGGCTACACAAGCTCTACTGTACAGTTTCCTACTCCATCTAAACTCTTTAACACCACACACATCCATTTTAATCCAAACTTAAATCAGTTTGAAAAACAACACAGGATTCCCTTTACAGAGCCACATTGGCACAAGGGGGTGTTTCTAAAGTTGCTGTATCTGCTTATGTCTGGTCGCACAACCACAGCAGTTGTGGGTTGTTGGGGCTTTTCTTTATTCCTGCAAAACATCCACATATTTGCTTAATCAAATAACCTTTGTTTTTCCTTTGTACTGACTGCCCACCTGCATTTTTCTAAAGTGAAGCCCACAGAGAAGAGGGAGGTGAAATGTTGACCTGCAAATGTGTGCTTTGCTATGTGTCTTCATGTTGTTTCCAGTTTATAGCAACCCTAAGGCAAACCTATGATTCTTGGCAGGATTTGTGCAGAGGAGGTTTTCTCTTGCCTTCCCTTGAGGCTGAAAGCATATGGCTTGCCCAAGATCACCCAGTGGGTTTCATAGGCAAGCAAGGAATTGAACCCTAGACTCCAGAGTCCTAGTCCAATACTCAAACCACTATGCCACAATGGCTCTTGGTTGAATGTGTGCATACAACACCAAATCATCCCCCACACACAATGGCAACACCACTTTTTCTGGCTGCCAATAAAAACAAGGGAGCTACCCTTCTGTGGCAGAAATGATCAGAAGACCTAGGTGACCACCCACCAACCTCACCCCTCCATCTCTCCATCCCAGATTCCACCACAATCCCAATTTGAGGCTCAAACCACACACTTTAAAAACTCAGATCTTCCCCAAAACAGTGGAACAAACAGTGGAAGCTTTTCACTTCACAAACTGGAGGATTTTTTAAAATTTCCTTAAAGCCATCAAAAGAGTTTTCACATTGGAAAGAAGGGAATATCGTGATCCAACAGGATTGGGATCGAGGGAAGGATGGATTATTCAGCCTGCATAGATTCAGCCCTTATTATGGCCAAGGAGGATGCACCTGCATCCAATATACCTGATAGCCCACAGTCTGTTAACACTGTCCCTGTGCTGTTTTACTCATCACACATATTCAGTAAGTGATTCTGGAGGCAGCCATTTACCTTGCCCATTGTATGTAAGCGCACACAGTTGCAGTAGGATCACCCAGAGCAGACTCCCATTCTTTTACAGATCAGCCTTCGTTGTTTATTGCAGCCACACTGCTGCAACTCAGCACTAAAAGTCTATCTTCCTCCAGCTCTCTTTCACCACCCTTCCAATTACAATGCTGGGGGAAAAAATCTTCTTCCACCTAGACAGAAGATAAGAGTGAAGACTTTATTTTAAAAGGAGCCTTTTTTGGCCATGGTTTTGTTAACCGAGGCATGCCTGTATAGTATTTTTGAAGTTTGGCCGCTGCAAAATTTTCATTAAGAGCTAACCTTTTCACATCTCACTTTTGGTGTGCGAAATGTGAGCACATCGGACTGCAAAGGCCTCCAAGCTGATGTTGCATTCCATGTTCTCCCTCTTTATTTATTTATTTGCTCTTCCTGATGGAGCAGCAGTCTGACAGGAGCCCAAAGGCTCCCCTTTCGCTCCGCGCTGAGCAGAAAACTCATCGACGCTAAACAAATATTGAACTTTGAATCATTTAATTTAATTTAATTCTGATTGACCTTTTTTATTTCAGAGCAAACTCACATCACTTTTTTCCCCCTATTCTTTCATCTTCTGAATGATTTGGTACAACCAAACTGTCCAAACCCAGGTAGTTTTCTCAGATTTTAGGAGGAAGAGTATTGTTGTGATTGTTTCCCCCGGAAATCCACATATACATCTTGGACAACTTCCTTTTTCTGTTTTCAGATGGGTGTGTCTAACACTTCCATTTCCTCCCACTTCAAATTGCTTTAACCACAAATTCATTCCATCCTTTTATAAAGAAGTGTATTGCACATCATTGGAAAGGCTTAAATGTCACTTTCTCGGTGGTTAGATAGAGAGAACATCATGCTGATGGAGAAATTAACAGAAAAAGGAAGGGTAACTAGAGATAACCAAGACCACTCTAAATTGTATGAGACTTGGAACAAGTTTAACAGTTATACAAATGCAAATGCCAGTCTTCTGGCTTCCCCCCTTCCTCACATGCTGATTTTTGGAAAGACATTCTATTATAATTGTTATCGTGTCAGCTGGGAATCTCTTATTCAGAAAGTCGAGAAGCATCAATTCAGTATACCTCATTGTACTGGATATGAGATGCATTGTTTGTTGCTTATGTTTGTTGCAGTAAAATCTTATTTTTTTAAAATAAAAAAAAAGTCTGCAAATTTCTGGTACCAATCAACACAAAATTCTCAATCACCAAATTCATCAGTTTGGGGAGATATTTAGGCTTCTCCGTCAGAGGGCTCTGGTACCACAACAAACTAAAAACCCCAGAATTTCATAGCACTGAACTATGGCAGTTAAAGCAATATCATGCTGCATTATTTCTGCCATGTAGATCCAGCCTATGATTCTGCTTTAATTCCCATGACCCCATCCTATGAAATCCATACCCAGCAACTGCTAACTAGGCCTGGTTGTAGTAATAATGCAAATCTATGCCTGTAGGATCATCCCAAGTTATTTTACCACCTGAAGCAATGAACTGGACGGCATCTTCTCCAATTCCATGTGCCAGTTGGACTGGCCAATGGATGTGTCTTCAACACAAGGGAAGAAACATCACAACATAGGCCAGGTAGTATTCAATTTTCTCTTTCAAAACTCTGCAGGCATCTCCTAGCATCTGCTGCCTGAGGTAGCCAACTTATTTTGCCTAATAGCGGGGCCAGCCTCACAAGTATAAGGTACACTGGATGGCATGATGTGCATTTTTAGTTTTCCACAAGTGATTCTTTTATTGTCGCTCCTATGGGAACAAAATGGATAATATCCTTTCAGGGGGGAATCATCATCATGCAGGAGACATTGAACTTCTTGGACCCTTTTTGTTTGATTAATGTAGAAGTAACACATCTGCTCCATAAATAGTGGAAAGCCTTGTGGTCTAGCGATAGAGCCAAAGGACAGAGAGAGCTTGAGGTCAAATGGTTTTTTAGCCCTGATGAATATGTAGCAGAGCATGGGAGAGTAATTGATTCCAAGAAGAAAGGGAAAGCAGATGATAGAGGTCAAGGAAGCAGAGGACTCTATTAGATAGGGCAGCACCCAGAGAGAGGCAGACTTCTGGGAATAGATGGAGAGAGGCAGCTGTATGTGAGAGGTGTGGGAGTTGTGCCCATCAGGGCTCCAAAAGAGAACTAATATGTTCCAGGAGTAGTTATCCAGAGGGAAGTAATTCAGAGGAACACCACAATCAACCAGCAAGACATCCATTTTGTGGAAGCAAGAGATAGAAGTGTGGGCAAATGGGATAAATATACATTCCACTCAGTTATACACACTTGGGCCATGCCTTAGAGGAGACAATACACACTGAGAGCATCTACTAATAGGATGAAAGCCCATTGTGAGAATATATCTAGTTGGTCTAGGTCATTATTGCTCCATGCCAGGACCAGTCTTAGTATTAGACAAACTAGGGCAGGTGTCTCCAACAGAAGATGCTGAGGAACAACAGAGAGAATTGGGGTTCCACAAAGAGGCCATAATCCTCCATGGCTCAGCAAAGTATAGAAGTTCTACATGTGGATCTATACTATGTACCACCACCATGTACCACCACCAGCAGACCTCCTGTAGAGTTGCTAAAACCAACCTTCCAATGGGCACTCCATGCTTGGTGAAAAGCAGGGAAAAACCACACAAACTTCTGGCTATGTCCCTGTAACCAGGTATGAAGCAATTACATCATTCACTGAGAGTCCTCCAGATGTCTCAGTGGCTGATGTATTGATTTCATGTCTAGCTATGAAAACATAGCCAGACACCTGTGTGAAAACACTCTGTTCTCAGCTGAGCACTAGGCCAAGGGGACTTCAGAGTCTTTACAGAAGATCCAAGGACTCTTTGGTTGCTACAGACAGAGTAAGGGAATGCCAAGCATAACCACACATGATGCATGAAAGCTTGACTTACGGACTCATATACCATTAATAAGGGCCTTTGCAGACTGCTAGAAATAGTGCAAATTGAGTCCAC